AGGCTACAGTCTGTGATCATTCGGCAAGTGCTTCAAGTCCTGCCTTTCAACAAGCAAAGTGTGTCACCTGCATATCACAGGTTGTAATATACGCCTTCCTCTAATCCTGATGCCCCATAGAGAAGCTATTCTCTATTTGCTCAGCATATAGATCCGAGTAAGTATGGTGAGAGGCTAAAAACCAGGCCAGGGGCTGAATGGAACAGACCATCAATTGCTTATCTGTAAATGCAGGTTGAAGTTGATGAACATGAATTCATTTGAGTCAAAATCAGACCTTAAGCACTATCTTTACACGGCATCTAATGTAATCAGAGAATGTACACATGAGTCAATTCTCACTCATGAGTGTCAGGTGCGCAGAGTAGGACGACACAGGGCTTTTGAGGCTGCGGTCTTTGGGCAGATTTTCAGGTCTATTATCCTTGGCATCCATCAGTGGGTTAGAACCAACTAATAGCTGGTCGTTGAGAGCTTAACTGTTTGTGCCACCAAGCAACTCTAGAATCAGAGAATGTAATGTAAACATGTATATTAGATGAAATAAATGCGGCATCGTTGGATCAAGGAATTTCTATGCAAAATGTGAATGAAAAAACTCCTAAACATGGTTTCAAAAAGTTTGTGGAAATTTTCCATACTCTCAATTTTTCCAACTTCCTGAAGTCCTCTCATATTTGAATGAATGGGGGAGACTCCTATTAATGTAAAAGTGACTCAAGATATATATATATTTAAGTGTCTATGTCTTTGCTCTCTACCGTGATTATTTTCTTGATAGTTTGGCCCTCGTTAATTCAGTAGCCACTAGTCACATGTGGCTATCTCAGTGTAAAATAAATTTAATTCCTCTATGTGACCAGCCACTTTTCAAGGGCTCAATAACCACACAGTGACCACCATATCAGACAGTGCAGATGGAGAACATTTCCACGATGGCAAAACATTCTATATCATAGGGAAAAAAAACATTTTTAATTAAATACATTTCCATGACGGTGAATATTTTTGGCATGAAAGGGAATGAGCCATTAGGACTATTAAAAACATTTTTTTGACTTCTTAAAAAAATGGAATTGTCTCAAAGTTTTGTCTCTGTGATTAGAGCGCCTCAATATCAGTCTGAAAATAAAAGGGTGAGAGCAGAGAAAACAAATCATACAAATAAGAGTAACATGAAGGCTGAGAACCTCAATCTATTCTAAAGTGTAGGAAAGTGTAGCAGAGGGGAGGAGTTAAAATCCCTTCTGTGGTTTGGAGAGGAACTTGCCTATTTATTCGCTCCCAGGTTTATCATCTTTAAGAGCTGTTCTCATTTAAAAGATCCCCTCTCCTCTGTGCCCTGACGAATTAGAATATGTGTAATCTATTGGCAATCTGCTTTTATAAACACACACACACAAAACACCCCACGATGGGGCAGTTCTCTTGCGTCACAGTGTAGCCGAGTAGGAATGGACTCTTGGCAGCTAACAACAACTTGCTGAGCGAAAAGAACAGAATCCTGGCGGCGCGAGTGGGTTGAAGCAACTGGGCCGCTAACCGAAAGATGCGTGGTTTAAGCGCAAGAATTTCGGCGCTGGAAGAAAAAACGAGGCTGTCGGTTGCGGTCAAGACCCCAAAGCTTCGGACACCCCATAGGACAGTGCAATTTCAGCCTAGAGATTAGAGATCGGAATCGACTTCACGCCGGTAGGTATGTGAACGAAGCCGGGTTAAAAATAAAAGGAAAGAGCGCGTGCTGTTTGCTTTCATTGCTACAATGCAAACTCATTTGCAGGGGCAGCACCCGGAGCCGCGGCGGCCTAAGAAGGTACGTCTTTGGTACTTCGGGGGGCTCGGGGCCGGGGAGTGGTCGGGACGAGGCTGGCGGGGGCTCGCGACGCCCATTGTTTCCGTTCCCGGCGGGATCGCTTAGGGTCCACCCCAAAAGGCGCTTCCACCGCGGGGTCCCCGAAGCCTTCCGCTGTGCGGACGCTGGACTTCCTCCGAGATGGCCGTGCCTATTGTGCTCCCGAGAAAAATGCCACATCGCCGCCGGGGCCGCATTTTTTTTCGGGGGGCGGGGTGGGGGTCTCGCCTGCTTAAATTTTCGGTACGGGTTCTGGAAACTTCCCGCTAGCGGCGCGGTGATCGGAGGGGCTCAGCGACCGTGTCCATTCCTCCGCTCTGGCCGCGAGGGCCGAGGGGCAGAAAGTTGTTGTTCGTTGCCAGGGACGAGGACGCTGACTCAGCGCGCGGTGCACACAATAGAGCGAAGCGCTGCCAGTTCTTACCGCCAAGGTTAGTTTTTGGTGCGCGTGCGGGGTTCAACCGGCAAAGATGAGGTGACCGTGTTTTATTCCCGTGCCCAGTCCGCTCGCGGGAATTTACCCCCAGCCCCGTCTGCCTGGGGGGAGCGCGAGCCTCTGGGAAAAAGCAAAAACCAAAAAACCCCCCAAAAGAACCACCACAACAAAAAAAACACTTGACAATTATGGGGCTGACAGGCCGGAAAACGGGACGGCTGTAAGGGCCGCCCCACGCCGCGAGCGGCTCTGGTGATTGGTCCACCGCGTCCACGTGATCGCTGTACGTCATACGTTCAAAGATGGCCGCCCCCAGCGTGCTCCGGCGTCGCGGGCGCGGCCATATTCGCTGGTGAGGAAAAAGTCGTAAACCTCGTTCTGCGTGCTCCGTGGAAACGCCGCGGACCCGGGTCCGACGACCTTCTCGGGAGAGCAGTCTGGGCGAGGGGACTCGGAGTGGA